TTTTGATCTAAAAATTATTCCTCAAATGTCTTGTAGAAAAAGTGACTCAAGAATAAACTCATGCAGCAAATATTTTCTCATGCAGAAAATATTGCCCGAGCTTTATTGAGATATAACTGACACATTGTGTAAGTTTAAGGTGTACAATGAGATGATTTGATACATTTATATATTGTGAAATGATTACAACAATAAGGTTAGTTAACATATCCTTCACCTCACATAGTTACCATTTTTTAACTATTTTAGATGGCCAATTACTTTTCCAAGTTATATGTCAATATATGTAAAGAGAAAGGTTTTCTCTGAAAAGTCCTACTTTTTGTTTAATATTTCTGTTATATAACATATTGTATTATATGTTGGGGTTAATTTTTTCCAAAACAAAAATGAATGTTTAATACTTCGTTCTTAAAAAATAAAGTATATGATATGTTGATTTTAAATTTTGAAGAAAACTGTGATATTCTTATAAATTAACCAACTACTTTCCCTCCCCCTCTCCCTCTTTTCCAGATGCCTCCCTTATCCAGATGTCTAGGACTTCCAACCAACTTCCAAAGGCTTTGCGTTTTTCTCATCTTAAAAAATTTCCCTATTATTTGATTCCTATGATTGTATTTGCTTACTATATACCATTAAGTGTCGATCATGTTGTCTAGGGCTCAGCAAACTACCTCCCCTTGGACAAATCCAGCCCACCACCTGTTTTTGTTAATAAAATTTTATTGGAAGACAGCCACGCCCATTCATTTGCATGTTATCTTTGGCTGATTTTATACTACAAGGACAAAGTTGAATAGCTGTAACAAAGATCATATGGCCTGCAGAGCTTAAAGTATTTACTATCTGGCCCTTTGCAGCAAAAGTTTGCTGTCTCCTATCCATTGCCTGATATATAGCAGGTGCTGAATATATACTCATACATTAATTACATTAATAGATGATGGATGGCAAATGATAGGAGAGATGCAGGCTTTATGTAAGAGGAGACCACTTCCTTCATTCCGGGTGTTGAGATCCAAATTGGCTTCTGGAGTATGAGTGGGTTTTATTATGGTTAAAGAAAAAGAAAAATGTAACTCTTCACAGAAACAATAAATATTGGGACCAGGTGGTGAAGTGAACTAAAAGATTTAGTTCTTGGCTGTTGTAAAAAACATATAATTTCATATCAGAAGAGTGTACTAATATCTGATTGCCTCCAATTCTCAAAAATTGGATGCTCAGTAAGAACACTAAGTGTGGTAGAGTTCACTATTACCTAATTTAAGAAATTTTCACAGCCTATTGTGTTTCTTATCTTGAGGTACTTTCATTGCTACTTCTACCTTTGCTGTGGAACTGTTAACTAGTCAAAAGTGAAAATAAACAGTCAATGAATTTCTTTCTAAAGATTGCTATAAAATGCTTACAGTATAAGTTAGGAGTCTGGAATTAACCTATTCACACTACTAGATGTAAAACAGATAACCAACAAGAACCTACTGTATAGCACAGGGAACTATATTCAATATTTTGTAATAACCTATGAGGGAAAAGAATCTGAAAAAAATAGATATATATGTATATATAACTGAATCACTTTGCTGTACACCTGAAATTAATATAACATTGTAAATCAACTATACTTCAATAAAAATAAGCAAATAATTTTTTTTAAAAAATGCTTAAAGTAGAAGAGCTTGTAATATTTAGGGTTTTTAGTTATCGGAGTTATATTACAGTCCTTTGAAATATGGATAAATAAGAGCTGGCTTGAAAAAAAAGTTTAATAGAAATTATGCAGCAGAAATCCAGAGAAGGAGAAAGAATATAGTTTCTTCAGTTAGTGAAACTTGATTTCTTAGATTTCTCAAGTAGTTACTGGACTATGGAATCTCCAGAGAAGTGACTGAACACCAGAAATTTTCATGGTTGATAGAAATACATTTTCTTTGGTCATATACGAAGCAATCTTGAGGATGGGCAAATATACTATATAAAGAGACTGTCAAACGTTGTTGTTTAAATTGTATTGCTTTTGTGGATTTAAAGTGGGTTTATAATTGTATATTATAATATATTTAGTATAAAATAGAATGTATAATTGGATTCTTCAAAATATAGAAATGATATTTATGTCTCATTTCTACTTTCATAATTCCTTATTTCATTTTTTCCATTTAAATTATCTCTGTCATGCTGTTTTACATTCTTTTTATCTGCTGTTTTATTTATATTTATACTTGTTTATGAAGATAGAAAAATTCATAATAAAGGATGTGGTTGGCAATAAATAAGCTGTGAGACTGCATATTTTGTAACAGAGGAAGCTTGGGACATGAAAAAGAAGCCCTGAGCGTTAAACTTTCACTCTCTGTGGACGCAGGGGGCTGCAGCATTACTCCTGAATAAAAGAAGACCTGGCTGTGGAGCTGTGAGGACTTGAAAAATCTGTTTACAAGCATGGTGCCCAATTTGCAAGTTAAAGTGGAATATAGCTGGACAATAAATTTAAGAAGCAAATCCACCTGCCATAAAGGGCACTGCTTTTCAACCAAGAGGCCAAAGAAAAGTAATAGTTGGGAAAGTCCTGATCTTAGAACTAGGCATTTTGAATAAAAATTATTAACACTGGAGAGGGAACTGCCATATAAAATGCTTGTATCAGACCATCTAGTTTGGTGGATGAGGAAATCCGGCATATCTAGTCATGAGGTATTTGCAGGACAAAAAGCAAAATATCAATCCATTGTTAGAATATCTTCCATCCTCCTCCAAATGATAGAATTCAAGAATGAAAAAGAGACCTTACAAATGAAGAAGAGACTGAAATGTGAATAACAGCCTACAAAAGAACTGACTTTTCTTTTCTTTCCTTTTTCTCTTTCTTTTCCCCTTTCTTTCTTTCTCTCTCTCTCTCTTTCTGTTTTTTCATTTATCAATGCTTTATACAATCAACAAGCATTGAGTGGCAATTATAATTTATTGTGATAAACACTGAAGATAAAAAGATAAAAAATAAAGCAATATAGTAAATGGATTAATAGAAATGTGCACATAGTATTATTGGGCACCTAGAGGAAGAATGTAACACCATTTAAGATGAGGAATTCAGGAAAGAAATAACCTCAATATTGAGTCACTGGTATGAGTATGAATATTGAATATTGAGTCATTGGTATGAGTATGAATTGGCTGCGGGAATAGGGACAGGAAAGAAGTGAGGTAGAGATTGAGCAGAAGATATTTTTGGCAATTAGTGTGTTATAAGGAAAGTCTTTGAAAAGCAAAACTACACAGTGTATGAAGGAAACAAGTACCATTCTGGGTTATTGAAGCCAGAAATTTGAGGCAGGGAAATGGTCAGTGATAAGAAAAAGGGTCAGGTCATAGAGAGCCTTGTATAAGTCTTTTAGAAATGTTGGAATCCATTCTATAAGTAACTAGGACCCATGGAAGCATTTTAAGCAGCTGAATTATTTGAAATATTGCTTTTTAAATAATGTTGGTGGCTTTTTACAGGGTTTCCACATTTTTAGTGGGGGCCACTGAATATTGATTAGTCACCCAAGCAGATTTAGGAAGTTGTAATAGTGAGATGTTAGATTTAAACTTGAAATATTGAAGTTGTTATGAGAATGAATAGAAGGGAGCTTATTAAAAATATTTAGAGGGTAAAACTGACAGACTATTATAATGAATTTGATGTCAGGGTTGAGAGAAAAAAGAGATTTAAAAATGACACCTAGCTGGAATGGTTGGGTGGATGGTGGTATAACTAAGTAAGATATAAAATAATCTAGAAGGAAACAAAAATCTGGTGGAGGAAAGAATAGTGCAGTATTCTTATATGCTACATTTAAGGTGTCTGCATACAGCTGGATTTAGTGTGTAACTCCAGGAGAGATCTGGACAGCATAATGGTAAGGATGAGACAATGACAATGACTGGGATCTCACATATAGAGCAGTGGGTGAAAGGTAGACCATTACAAATTTTCAAGGCTGACAGATATATCCAGATTTGGAAAAACAATGGGTGAAGAATGGGAACCAATATTAGAGGCATAGGTTCAAGGAAGTAGATCACTGAAATAAGGAAACAAAACATTTGTGGCGATGTGTAGGTCAATGCAGGCTAGCTCCATCATGTCATGCTCTGTCCACTCCTAACCAAAACTTGGCTGACTCAGATGGAAGGTCCACTTTTCATTTCATTTCTCTTTACTTTCTCACTTCCATCTTGAATTTAATTCTTTGCTATATTCCTTTTGGGTTCCAAAAAAGCTCCAGATTTGAGCATTTTCATGCTTTCTCTCCCATAGGCTCAACTTTCCCCGTCCCCACACCCTTGTATGTATGCTTTTCAAAATCATGCCAGTATCCTGGCAGTCTCATTGTAAGGTGGTTTTGTTATTGCTTTTGTTGTTGCTTACTTGCCTTCACCATATTTGTGCCAAACAGTGTGGTGGATGTTGAAGAAAGCAAAAATAAGAGGATGTTAATTCCAGTTCTTTGGGGGTTTGTAATCTAGGTATTAAGATATGCTTAAAAATCACTATCATTTGCTGTAGGAATTAGAGTGAGGTAAGCGGAAAAAAAAAATGTAATATAATATGATCCCAGTATTTTTAGTTTCTTTCCTTTTTCCCACTTTAGAAGTGTTAAAACTGAAACCCAGAAAGCTGATCTTGACTTTCCCAAGATCACAGTACTGGCTAATGTTTAAATGAATAGTTCTTTGGTGAACAAATGGATATTGTGGGGGCTGAAGATTCAGATTTAGGAGTTGACTGCAGGATTAACTATGCCCGCACAAAGTGCACGTTATCATAGAGAGCTATCTATTTAACTGCGTTTCTAGAAAAGGCATATTACTTAATGGAAAATTCAAAATACATGACATGTTCATTTCCATTCAGTATATCTTGCTACAATAATTCCATGTGCTTAGTAAAAAGAAAGAAAGCTCTCTAAAAACAGCAGGCCACAGTCTTTCCTTGTTGAAAACCTTACTCTTCTTTGTCATATTGGCTGATGTTCAGCTGCACACAAAGAAGCAGGTTGTTCCTGCTGGGCTTCACAAGGAGGAGGTGACAGAAGCCCAGGTATGAGCTCATAGCCATGGTCCCCGACATGGTAGGGTACAGCAGTCCCTCCATTCTGCACAGAGCCACATGTTAATTGTATATCTGTTGAAATGCTGCTCCCTCCAATCCTGATCTACAGAACACTGTGATGAGAGCTCTAGGGAAGCCCTGTTCCAGAACCAAGGAATTTTTATGGCAGTGATATAGGAAGATGAAAACATCTCATCCACAACTTCCATTAAGTTGGCTACAGTAACCAGGCCAGGGGACCTAGGCTTCTGGTGGGAGAACTCACAGATCTTTGTGGCATGCCTATAAATGTCCAGATAGCCATCATGGATCCCCAGAGAGAGTTACTATCTTCCTGGCTACCAAGCAGATGGCACCATCCTCAAAGGCTTTTAAGTACTTGAGTCAGGACACTAAAATATGCTGTAATTGGCTGTTAAGTATAGCAATGGAAGGACATATTTGGAAGACACAGTCAGCTAGATATTGGTTCATAATTATTTGTTCTGGAAGATTCATTGTGCTGGCAAAGGTCAGGATCACAAACCGGGCCTCCTTGTGATTGGGCCAAAGAAATTGTATACTATATCTTACTTTGACTCCACAGTTTGAATTCATCCACAAGCAGCAAGACAGTCTCCAGAGATGGTTCAAAGCTATGTGATAGCAGTTTTACTATGAACTACATATGTTGGCCTTTACACATTGGAATAGGAAGCTTCTCTAGAGGAAGGTTTCTGAACCCTGGCACTATTAACATTTTGGGTTGAATAATTATTTGTTGTTGGGAAACTGTCTTGTGCACTGTAGAATGTTTAGTAAGGTCATGCTCTCTGCCTACTAGATGCCAGCAGTAACACCTCATCAGTTCTGACAACCAAAAATGTCTCCAGATATTTCCAAATGTCCCCTGGCGGAAACCACTGCTCTAGAATTTTATTGGTAAATATATTCGTATGGCTATGTTTTGTTTTTTCATTAAATCAACTCACACTTTAAGTTATTTAATAGATTTTATAACACTGATATTTAAAAAATGTTTTTGATTGTCTATTTACATAATAATTATTTATCCAAATTTAGCAAAAATATAAGTAAGAATTCCATGGATACCAACTTTAACCAAAATTCCTTTGTCTAGAGAGGGAGGTATGAGCAAACACAGAAGGACCCAGGTAACAGTAGTGGCATTATGTAAAGAAGTGTGTGTTATTACATATGTAACCATCACTAAAGTACTGTAGAAGAACAGAAACCATTCAAAATTTACTAATTTTAGCATGACTTTGAAAACTACTTAGTCTTTTAGAAATGTTGGAATTTTTTAAGACTGGAATTTACGAGTATCACCTTAACATTTTTCTTCTGCTTTCCTTTAATTTCTCATATACGTAGTGTCATTTCTTAATGGTGACAGAGGCTTTTGGTACAAACAAGCTTTTTACCAGGGAGTAGTATGTTTTTTTCTGCAAGATAACCAGCCTACATTTTGGCATTAGAATTTTCTAAAGATAATAAATATCTCACTTTTTCCCTCAAAGATTATCCCAATCTTAAATAAAATTAATTTAGTAAGATGCTTAACATTTAACTGGCAATGGTCTTCAGAGCTGTTTCATTGGATAATTTTTCACTAGGATTTTTTCAGAATCTCTGGTATCAGAGAAAGCTTATAGTAAAGGAACAGATAATTTTATTTTTAAAATATGCTTTAAAATTACTTAAGCCTTTGGTGGGAATGTAAAGTGATACAGCCACTATGGAGAACAGTATGGAAGTTCCTTAAAAAACTAAAAATAGAACTACCATATGACCCAGCAATCCCACTACTGGGCATATACCCTGAGAAAACCATAAGTCAAAAAGAGTCATGTACCACAAGGTTCATTGCAGCTCTATTTACAATAGCCAGGACATGGAAGCTACCTAAGTGTCCATCAACAGATGAATGGATAAAGAAGATGTGGCACATATACACAATGGAATATTACTCAGCCATTAAAAGAAACAAAATTGAGTTATTTGTAGTGAGGTGGATGGACCTAGAGTCTGTCAGAAAGAGTGAAGTAAGTCAGAAAGAGAAAAACAAATACTGTATGCTAACACATATATATGGAAATCTAAAAAAAAAAATGGTTATGAAGAACCTAGGGGCAGGACGGGAATAAAGACGCAGACCTACTAGAGAATGGACTTGAGGACATGGGGAGGGGGAAGGGTAAGCTGGGACAAAGTGAGAGAGTGCTATGGACATATATACACTACCAAATGTAAAATCAATAGCTAGTGGGAAGCAGCCACATAGCACAGGGAGATCAGCTCAGTGCTTCGTGACCACCTAGAGGGGTGGGATAGGGAGGGTGGGAGGGAGACGCAAGAGGGAGGGGATATGGGGATATATGTATAGCTGATTCACTTTGTTATACAGCAGAAACTAACACACCATTGTAAAGCAATTATACTCCTATCAAGATGTTAAAAAAAAAAAGATACACTTATGCTGCAACCAGGAAACACACTACTAGCTATTTACCCAAGTTATATGCAAACATGTATGTTTGCACAAAGCCTTGTACAAGAATGTACATAGAGCTTTATTCATAAAATCCAAAACTGGAAACACAGCTCAAGTGTTGATCAATAGGAGAATAAATAAAGTGTAGTATATTCATATAATGAACTACTTAGGACTACAAAGTAGCAAGTTCCTTGCACAGAAAGTGACATGGATGAATGTCAAAAACATGCTGAGTGAAAAAAGCCTCACACAAAAGAGTACATAGTGTATAAACAAATCATAGAAAGTCCTAGAACAAGCAGAGAAAAATTAATTTATGGTTGAAAAAAGTCAGAATAATGGTTACCTCTGAAAGCAGGGATGAAGTGAAAATGGACTGGAAAGGAACATTTGAAAACTTTTCTGGGGTGATGACAACATTCTATATTGTGATAGGAGTTTGGGTTACTTGTCAAAATTCATCAAAATGCCTGCTTAAGCTCATGCAGCTCAATATGAAAAAAAACAAACAACCCAATCCAAAAATGGGCAGAAGGCCTAAATAGAGATTTCTCCAAAGAAGATATACAGACTGCCAACAGACACATGAAAGAATGCTCAACATCATTAATCATTAGAGAAATGCAAATCAGAAGTACAATGAGGTATCATCTCACACCAGTCAGAATGGCCATCATCAAAAAATCTAGAAACAATAAATGCTGGTGAGGGTGTGGAGAAAAGGGAACCCTCTTGCACTGCTGGTGGGAATGTAAACTGATACAGCCACTATGGAGAACAGTATGGACGTTCGTGAAAAAACTAAAAACAGAACTACCATACGACCCAGCAATCCCACTACTGGGCATATAACCTGAGAAAACCATAATTCAAAAAGAGTCATGTACCACAATGTTCATTGCAGCTCTATTTACAATAGCCAGGACATGGAAGCAACCTAAGTGTCCATCAACAGATGAATGGATGAAGAAGATGTGGCACATATATACAATGGAATATTACTCAGCCATAAAAAGGAACAAAACTGAGGTATTTGTAGTGAGGTGGATGGACCTAGAGTCTGTCATACAGAGTGAAGTAAGTCAGAAAGAGAAAAACAAATACCATATGATAACACATATATATGGAATCTAAAAAAAAAAAAATGGTCATGAAGAACCTAGGGGCAAGATGGGAATAAAGATGCAGACCTACTAGAGAATGGACTTGAGGATACGGGGAGGGGGAAGGGTAAGCTGGGATGACGTGAGAGAGTGGCATGGACATATATACACTACTAAATGTAAAATCAATAGCTAGTGGGAAGCAGCCGCATAGCACAGGAAAATCAGCTCGGTGCTTTGTGACCACCTAGAGAGGTGGGATAGGGAGGGTGGGAGGGAGGGAGACGCAAGGGGGAAGAAATATGGGGACATATATATATGTATAACAGATTCACTTTGTTATAAAGCAGAAACTAACACACCACTGTAAAGCAATTATACTCCAATAAAGATGTTAAAAAAAAAATGCCTGCTTAAAATTTGTACATATTGTTATAAGTAGATTTTACCTCAAATTAAAAAAAAACTGTAAAAAAATACTGACCTCTAGCTTATGAGTTGCATACTAAAATGTTTATCACAAGTATACTGATGTGTGCAAATTATGATAAAATGCCTACAAAAAATACGATGGGTAGAAGGATAGCTAGACAAAGAAACGTGATAAAACAGGTAGAGCAAAATGTTGTGTCGAGTATTGATGTTGGGTATATGAATGTTCACTGTAAAATTCTTTCACATTTTCTGCACACTGGAGATATTCTATAATAAATTATATATATATATTTATATATATATTTAACACCAGAAAGTGGCAACAACATTTTCTCTGGCTTTATGACTAGATCTGTGTTACCCACCATTTCTGCAGAGGCAGGAACACTGAAATCGTCAGTACAATGGAAGATTCCTGAGGAGGCTCTGAGGTAGCAACTACAAATGCTCTAGAAGGCAAAAGACAAAAAGAAGGAAAAAATATTATTCAAAATGAGACTCTTAATCAAATGCAAAACATGAATAAATGGTTTTTTACAAAAGAAAACCATCAAAATTCACCATTGAAAATATTAGTGCAATAAATCCCATGAAGGAGGCTGCACAGCCCTAATGAAATATAATCAGGTACTCTAGATGGTGTTAACTGCTTCTAAGAAAAAGAGAGTATAATTAAAACATCAAATTGTCATTTTACAGCATAACATTTCCCTGATGGGACTTTGGATTGGTACATGCTATTTTAAGTATATAAAGAAAGGTACCAGAGAAACAAATATATCCAATTATGACTTGGTCTTGGAATGCTCAGAAACAATTCAACTCAATGTATTAAATTAATGCATGCATTCATTCATTCAACAAATGTTTATTAAACACTTAGAACAATCCAGGTACTATCTCTGTAAAAAACAGCTAATTACAAGGCCCATGAAGAGTATATTTTTGACCTTTTTTTTAGTGTTATTGATATAACTGACATA